CCCCCCCCTCCCCCCCCCCCGCCCCTTTTCTCCCCCCCCCCCCCCCCCGATCCGTCCGTCCGTCCCTCGCCGGCCGATAAATAATTCTCGTCGAATCGAGAATTAAATATGCCGTTTCGCGAAATTAAATTGTCATCTGTCGCGAAATTACGCATGAATATTTATGCCGCGACGCCGGTGCGGACCTTTTAAATCGGCTGGTCATCGGCCGAGCCGGGCGCCGCGCGTGGAAACCGAGCAGCGCAATCTCGATTTCCGGAACAGCACCGCGACGGAACGAGAAACAGCGTGGGCCGAGTGTAGAGCGGACGCGAGAGGCGGAGAGGAAAGAATAGAAGAGGCGGGTTAGGGGAGAGGAAAAACGAGGAGAAAGGCCGAATTGGCTGGCGAGAAGAAAGAAACGACGCCAGGGGAAACGCGGATGGTAGCAATATCGTGGATCGTCGAGCCTAAAGTAACACCGGGCAGCCGTTTCTTTCTCTCGGCTCAGGCGCTCCGCTCGCTATAGGGACCGCCGCCGCGGCTGCAATCGATAGGACAGTCATCCTTGCCTCTGCTTCCCGGCTCTCGCCACCCGCACACTGCTTAACCCCTCTCTTTCTCTCCCTCTCTCTTTCTCTTTTCCGCTCTTTCGCGTGGCCCGGTGTACGCGGCCAGGCCAGGACCACGAAGATTAATCATCGGTCGATTTTAATATCGCCGCCGGTATCTATATCGTGGGATAGACGAGCGCAGAGATAGGGGGTGGCGGACAGGGTGGTTCGGACGGGGACGATCGGCACGGTGTAATTTATTAATTCGCTCGGACGCCGTAACGGCCGGCCAATAATTCTAATTTGACCGGCGGCTAAGCGCTTTCCAATTCGACGAGAAGCCACGGAAAATTGAATCGGCGTCCCGTGGCCTTACTTACGTAAGTCGACGTGGCAGGCTTAAAGGGGTTGGACCGGTATTAGCCTCGACTCGAGGGGCTGGAGAAGAGCGTAGTACACGTACCCTTTCCAGCCTTGCGAACCCTCCGCGTGCAGTCACGTCCCGAGCTGCTCCGTTAGACCGGGGACCGAGTTTCATTAACGTCACGTGTACTGTCAGAAATAGTCCCCGGGGAATACCGCGAACGTGTACACACCGAGGCAAACCGGCTAGGAGAGAGAGAAGAGTGTCCCCGTTTCGCGACAGTTCTGACAGATGCTTAATATCACCGATGCCTCCGACTAATACCGCGGATTACCCGACGTTAGAGAGCCCCGGAGCTTGATCTCCGGATCTCCTTCTGCCCTTTAATTGCTCGTTTCACGGTCGTGGTCAACGTCGCTCGCACCTCCCGACTACCCACGCGCCATTTTCCGCGCGATCGGCGTAACCGTGCAACGAGATCGCCGCGCGGGATTTTATCGTCACCGGGTCGCTCGAATTTCGCCACCGCGGATATTTATTTTCACCGGTGGAAAAAATGTTCATTAAACATTCATATTTCCGAGCGGACGCCGCCTGTTAATGTTTCACGCTCGACGAATCGATCGACGTTAACGAGGCCGATAATATAACGGTGGGGCGAGGCGACGCCGTGCGTCCCGATATCGGTGTCGGTGGTGTGTTTCTTTTGCAAATTCGCGCGAACGCGTGCACCGTCGCCCGACGGTATCCGGAAATTGAAATAAACAACGACGAGGCAAGTTTACGTGCCATCCGTTCGTTCGTATAAACGTGTCGAGTGTTCCAGCCGGCGGGAACCGAGCGAACTCGAGCTTCGTCCCGGAGAATTGTTCCGAATTCTAATGAATTTCGCGAGATCGTAAATCTCGCGACCGCCATTACGCGACGATCGACCTTTCGGGTCTGCGCGAAACTCGAGCGGGCAAACCGACGATGCCTCGAACACGCGTCGAGTTCGGACACGCGAGATCGTCTCGAAGAACGACGTGCGGGGAAACACGACGAGAGTGTAACGCGCGTACACGCGTATCTCGACGGGGAAAAAATCGGGGATCCTGTACCGCTAATTACTCTGGGCGACCCATTTCCACGTCCGTGCCCCTCGTCCGAATTTCCGGCAACTGCGGCGGACACCGAAGCCCGTAGATTTACGAAACGTGCCTGTAATTAGGAAATCGAATACCCGACGAATGGAGATTATAAACTAAACACACACGGTGCAGGAGAATTAACGTCACGGCTTTGCGAATTCGCTGTTACGTCGTAAACGAATTGGTCCAGCTTATCGCGACGAATTTCGAGCGAGGCGTCGCGACGGTGAGCTGGAACCCTGCTCGTTCGTATTCCTCCGTGCGCGAACGGAGAAATTAATTTCTCGTCGATCTAATCGATCCCGGCACGAGGGGGGTTACTCGATAAGGAATATCGGCCATGCTGGCGGAGGGAATGATCGGAGCGATCGGTAGCCGGGAAACCTCGCTTGGATCACGAACGCGAATCCGTTATTTCATACGTCGATTTTATTCCCTTGTTACGGTAACACAGGGGAACAGGTGCTCGATCTAAATTCCGCGCAAGAAGAATCCAACCAGCGTTGCTTCCATTGTCGATCGTGGCCGTCCCGAGCGTGGGACGGCGCTAGCTCACGTAGAAAATGCGACACGATCCTCGTGGGGGACGGGGGTGAGGGGCTTATTGGAGGGCCGTGGAATTCGAAATTATTGGCCCGGTGTTCATCGAGCCCTGCTCCCATTTCCCAGTCGACGACGATGGCTCAGGTGCGTCGCCTGCGGTATCACAGCCTCGAGACGAGCCGAAACACCGCGACGCTCATGAATATCGACCGGTCGGGTCGATTAAAATGCCACGACCCGCGCGGTGTTGCTTGTCGCTGTTCGTCCAACAAACCCGGTGAAAACGAGCCGATACGATCCGTCCAACGTCCGATTTCAAACGGAACGACGACCGACCAATCGACCGACCGACCGACCGACCGACCGATCGATTCACCGGCGACGAATTTATTTCGCATTTAGAATACTCGTTTTAACCTGGACTCGTCTCGCGCGAGAGATCGACGAGGAACGAAGCCGAGGAAATAAATCGCCCGAATAATTCTTGTTGCAGAAGAGCTATCCTGACGAATCCGGACGTCCTGTCCAGCACGCCGTGGTCCCGGCTGCTGGAGAACGACTTCTGGGGTACGCCCCTGAACGATCGAGGGTCCCACGGCAGCTACAGGCCTCTCTGCGTGGCGACCTTTCGTTTGAATCATCTGCTGGGCGGTCTGGACCCGTGGGGCTATCATCTGGTGAACGTCGCGTTGCACGCCGCCTGCACCGTGCTCGTGGTCAGGGTTGCCAGAAAGGTAAAGCGCGCCACCGCTCGCGGATAATAACGTTAATTAAACGAGCAACGCCATTGAAATTTATCGGTTATTCAAACAAGAAACTAATTCGAGGCGAGAGGAGAATGACGACGCGCAGTGGGACGGAGGTTCGACCGGTTCATCTGCTTTTCGATTAACGCCGGACAGGCTGCTCGCTCGTCGGTCAGATTTTACGTCAGAGCGGCAGAAAACGAGATAATAGTGACACCTGTAGAGCGTACGTCATGCGGACTTGATAATACCAGACGTTATGGCGACCGGTTGGAAATAAAATTTTACCAGTCCATTTAATTCCGGAATATTACGTTAATAATCGCGCGCCGCCAGCGCGAGCTCCCCCTTCACGGTCGCTCCGTGTCACCTGCCATGGTTATCGTAATGAAAACAGGATTACCACAGGGAATCCGTTGTTTCGTTTCCAGATTTTTCAATCCTACGCGCCATTGTCCCCGCGAATAAGATCGTAGCGACCATCATTCTCACCATCGCCACTAGACGACTTTCCCGCAAGTCCTCGATAAACCTCGCTTCCTTCACATACAACTTCTCGGTCTAAGACTTATCGATAGGTCTACTAGCAGGCCCGGACTGAAACGCATCCCTTTCTTTTCCTTTCGGGCCTTCTAGCGCTACCACCACGTCGAGAATAACGAGCAATCGACATCAGCAACTATAGAGGCGGACCCCCCATGGTATTAATGATCCATGCACTAAATATTTTCGTCATCGGCTACTTTCGAAGCAGGATAACGTTTTAAACGCGAGATCAAGTCTGTTGAGGGTCCTCGCCCATAATCGTGGTTAGGCTAGTCGGCAGGTATCCTTGATATGGCGGTGGTGCTAGAAGGGACGAAAAGAAAAGAAAGGGACGCATGCAGTTTGTCCTGGGTGTGCCAGTGGACTCATTAGTAAGGCTACCTAGCAGGCCCTGTCTTGGGCGAGAGGTACTATCGGGAAAGTTTGGAAATTCTGTATATAGGAAACGAAGGATTTACCCCTTGCCGCGCGATTTAATACCCGTGACCAGCCGACTTCGTCCTCGATCTCGTTCCCGTTCTCGCGAGAATCGTCGTCGTTCACCGGAAATGTGGGAAAGAGACTCGTCGGATCTCTATCGGCGGACGAATTAAGCGGAAAACCGCGGGCAATCGGTAACGCGGAGCAGCCAGAGACGAGGAACGTCCGGATCAAACGAAACGCCCTTTCGCTATCCATCCTCTTCCGCTGCTGGCCCATTTAGCGGATTAAGAGAAATCGTCGAAGAGCAGTTAGACCGCTCCTATATACCCATTCTCCGGAGGAGAGAGCCTGGTTCATTGTCCCCGATTGTAAAGACTGCGCTAAAACGCGCGCGCCACCTCCGTCCCTCGAACAATGAGGGGAGAGAAACGCACGATCCGGACCCCCATTGTCCGGCGATTCACCGGGAATTTCTCACGTTTTGCAGGTACTGCCTGGAAGAAACAACCTAGGCCACGCGATCGCCGGCTTCCTGTTCGCGGCGCATCCGATCCACAGCGAGGCGGTGGCCGGTGTGGTCGGTCGCGCCGATCTTCTCGCCTGTCTCTTGACCCTGTCGGCGTTCCTCGCGTACAGCGTTCACTGCGAGCGCACCAGGTCGTCGTTTCCCTTGATACTGGCCCTAGCGTCCTCCACGCTGGCCACGCTCGCCAAGGAGACGGGGATATCGTCGCTGGCTCTGTGTCTCCTCTGGGAACTCTGTCGCGGCGAGTCGGGTCGGAAGGTAAGAGGCTGCAAAGAAATTCCTTCGAGGAGCCCCGAGGCATTCGGGGAGAATCGGGTCGATGAGATAAGGACCCTCGCGATTTCGCGTCGAATAGGTTAACACGCTGCATAGCACGGTGGTCGCAAGATGGTACGAGCAAGACGCTGTGAGTTATTTATCGGTAATTCATTAGGGTGCGCGAAGCCGGGGGTGAGCGTATCGATCGGGGTCTGGTAATGCGCTTGGGTAGGTCGCGCTGATGAGCTGCATAGCGGCAGGATGTTGTAATTGACGTATCGTGTGTTTACGATGTACGCGCTGCTCGCGTCGCATCGCGTCCCATCGCCCACGAAACGTCGCGTTATTCCGCTTCTCGTTTTCGCGTATTCGGGAACGGGGTAACGCGTTCGAGAGCGTTAAACGTCTCGTCGGAAAGGGACCAACGTTCCGGCGAACAGCCCTCGAGTTAAACGTTCCTACCAGGATTACACGCGGATCGAGTTAGTCCTTCTCGCGTGCGACGTGTTTCCTGATTTACGCTGCCACCCCTTGTCAGTGGTCGCGCAAAGTTTCCGTTTTACAACTCAATTACGAGCTCCGTAGGGCTATTTTAACTGCCATCCCGTATTTACGGCCCGACCCCGTGGGCCCATCAGATTTCAGCGGCCGCGTTTCTTTCTCGTCTCGCGGTTTCTCCGTCGTATCGTGCCATTTCCGCCGCAAGTACGAGCCCGCGGGTCGGAAGGCCGCGGTGGATGCAACATTTGCAGGTCGTCGACGCGAAGTTGCTCGCATCTCACGTGCCCCGTGCACATTACCGTAAATTAACGTTTCGAGAGCTGCATTACGCCGGATTGCGCCAGTGCGCGCCTCTGCCTGCCATTACGAATATTAACAACTGAAAATGGACCGGTCTACCACCGGCAGAACGACGTAATCAAATTACCGCTGACGGAGGAAAGTAGGTGAACGCGGAGACGAGGAGGCTCGAACCGCCGCGGATTATTCCGGCCTGCTGGCGTGAACTGATAACGCTACTCGATATAATTATCCGCGAACGGGTTACAAGGGCGGTAATCGCGAGCAACCGGCGTGACAGGGAATTCGTCGCGCACCAAATACCGTATCTTTGTCGCGGCTTGTACGCTCGCGAGCGCTGGCGCGCGTGTGCGCCGAATAGGCTCGTAGGCGAGGGAACCCCACGGCCTGGTTTCTTCCGTCTTAGACGCACGTGTGCCTTATGCCTCTGTACGTACATAGGGGAAACCGCGAGGTTACACAGCCGCGCGGCAGACAAGCCGTGTAACCGATAACGGTGCAGCATGTGCAAACGCGAGCCAGGCCAGCCAGTTCTGCCGGAGACAGCGGCCTGATGCACGGGGTGAGCCGTCTCCAGCTTACCCACGCCCTGATTCTAGACGGCTTTAACCACCTTCAACCACCTTCAACCACCTTCAACCACCACCTCCAGACACACTAGCTAGATCCTTCGGATCTGAACCTCCAGGCGTTCGCTTTTCTCCCCTGCACATCGCATCCGGATGCGCTGGATGCATCAGACGCCTGGTGTGATGCATGTCGTGGACCAGCCAGCCAGCCAGCCAGCCAGCCAGCCAGCCAGCCGACGAACGTTGGAGGGGTGCCAAGGGTCGTTCGCGTCTCCCGACACCCTTCCGAGTGTAGCGTCGCGCGGGAACCGGGTCTCGGTAGTTCTTCCTTTCTGTCCTATCCAGTCGTCCTTGTTTTACCTCCCCTTTCGCCCCCCTCGCGCCTTCCCGTCCATATTTTTCTTCTTATTACCGCGCTCTTATTCGCCGTTGTTCCCTCGCACGGAGAGCCAATACACCGGGCTAACCTTCCCCGAACGGGAGTCTGAAACTGTTTCCTAGGGAGATCGGGAGACGGAAGTGGCACGACGTGCAGCCACGACGGGCGTCGTCTCGTCAGAGATCGGTCGCGAAGAATATCGAGTGGAATTGTCAATGAAACGGCGTACAACGCGACCAGATTCACTCGCGTCGGAGATTCCCGTGGCTTCATTCGCGTGCTTGTTAACTCCACCGCTCCCTGTCTCGTCAAAGTACCCTTTATTCGGGGAACTTGGGGCCAGAATTGCCAGTTTATCGCGGCACCGAAAATGTCAGCGGCGCCATGTAACTGGGTTACATTACCTTGGCGAATTATTCCTTCTCGACTCGTGCGTCCCGAACTTGCCGAAAGTTTCGCCCTGCGAGAGCTATCGTCCCTTGATTAGCCCGAATTCGCCGTGGCTCGAGCGTAACTCCCCGATTTTCCGGGCTTTTCCTCCAACCTGTTTTCTTCGGAACTCGCGGCAACAATAAGGCGCCGCTGCCTCGTTTTCTCGAATTTCCGCGCGATCCCGCGTTCCCTTCGGATACGTCGTTTCTAATTTCCGTGGCGATTAAAATATTCACCGAAAGCGGGACAATTTAGTCGGACGAGCGTCCTGTCGCATTGCATTTTTCGCCGTGCGGTCACATTAAAAGCATCGTTAAAGGCGAAACGGAACGGAACGGAACGGAACGAGGAGGAGCGAGAGAGACAGGGAGCGAGAATGCTCGTACGAATCTATCGCGAGTTATAGCATCGCGGCCAACAAAGACCGGCCGGGCTACAATTCTGGAGCTCGCAATTATCGCCGCGACTTCTTCCGCGGCCCCGCAATTTACCATTAAAATGTCGCTTTCGCGTTACGTCGCGCCACGGCTCGCTTTAAAAGCTTTCGACGTTACTTTTCATTTACGCTGAACGCCGGTCCTCGACAGCGTCGCGCCGATTAAGCGTGCCGCGCACGCTTTCTCGCGATTTCCTGATAACCCGCCATAATTATGTTCCGCGCTCCACTATTTCCTATTTCCTTCGTCCCCCTCCGGCCCCGCCGCTGCCACCCCGTTCGCGCTTTGCACCCGCGTAATCGCGAACCGCGAATCGCGCGCCACCCTCTCATTTGTCAGCCAGCCGCGATCGAACGAGTGTTTCTCATCCGTCGGTCATCCGCCATTCGTGAACCGAGTTCCACGGGAAGCGGATGCACGGTGAAAAGCTCTGCATCGTTCCTCGATTTCAATTTACCCTCGTTGCGGAACGTTTCCCCCTTTCGACGTCGAAAGACGTGGGCCGATGGAAGAGTGACGGGGTACCACGATGCGTCCCGGTTTTGTCACGTTTCGATCGACGTCGGGTTCGAAGATACGAAGGGTACGCGTCGAAGATTTTTCCTTCGTCGACCGGGTGAGAAAGGGCCCCGTTGTCAAAGGGTTCCCCTTTCGAATGGACGGGTACATTGGCCGTGAAACGGAAGAGGTACACAGTGGCTCCTTTGGCCGTTCGGTATACACCGGTTTCGTTGGCCGGTGAAATTAGTTTGGGAACGGGTGCCGGATGCCGGACATCTAGTTTGAATTACGGGCTGCGGGGCAGAGTGAGCGAGCTCTTTGGTCGAAAGGCGCGCAATTATTATTAAGATTTCTCGTTTAATTACGAGTGAACGTCGATATCGTGGTCGACGGCCACGGCGGCGTTAATTAATCTTCATTTCCCGCGGTCCCGTGTCTGTCCACGCTCCCATGCTGTTCGATTAAAAAGCGTGTACATACTTCATAACGAACGACAGCCATTAGGACGTGATGAATAGCTGGATCGAATCGAGCGCCGTTCATTTATTCGAATCACCGACGAGGGGAATCTTATTACCGGCTATCGAGAGCAGCGATGAATTCTTTAATTTATGTACACGCGGGGAAATAAAGTAGAATCGGGGATCGATACTTGTAACGTTCACGCGCGCCTGGCTGGGCGTTTAATAACTCTCGGCTGTTTCGTTTTCCAGGTAAATTGCGGCCTGACACGCACGCGTAGCATCGGCATCGTCTCCGGAAGTTTGGCCCTGCTGGTACTCGGTAGGCTAAGGATCACCGGCACGAGGCCAGAATTCGCTAGCGCGGACAATCCGACCGCCAGGCACCCCTCTCGCCTAACGCGCGGTCTCACATTCCTCTATTTACCCGCTGCAAGCGCCAAGATGTTACTTTGCCCCAGTACGCTAAGCTTCGACTGGTCCATGGACGCCGTGCCACGAATCACGAGTCTCCTAGACGCGAGGAACCTCGAGTCTGCCTGTTTGTACACCGCGCTAATTGGCGCCTCGATCTGGACGATAAGGACGCTTCGACGACCACCCCGGGACGTTTCTAGTCTAAATTTCGCGCAGTATCATCGCTCCGTGTCGTCCAGGTGTCCGGTGTGCGCTGGCAGGCGAACAGGGGGCTGTCACACGGACGGCTGTCGAGCGGCGAATAACAATAACAACGGGCCGATCGGCGATTGCCACTGCGCGAAGAGGCCTAACAGTGGATCGACTTGGAGCAACGGATTCGCTGGCAGACAGGCGACGGCGAGCAGCGTCGCGACGTCCCTCGGTTTCCTCGTGCTTCCCTTCCTACCGGCTAGCAATTTGTTCTTCTACGTGGGCTTCGTCATAGCCGAGAGGATTCTCTATTTACCGAGCGTGGGCGCGTGTCTGATCGTCGGAGCCGCGATCTCGTCGTTCTATCACATAGCCAGAAGACACGGATCGAGAAGGAGAGGCAGGATAGTGCTGCTGGCCACCGCGATCCTCGTTTGCCTGATGTCGGCCAAGACGTTGTCGAGGAACACGGACTGGTTCGACGAGGAGAGCCTGTACAAATCTGCGTTGCACGTAAACCCACCGAAAGGTGAGTCCTCTCTCTCTCTCTCTCTCGATTGCATCTAGACGTCTCTACTTTACGGCTACCTTGCGCCTTTAGGTTATTCCGCGTGGAAAAAGGAACAAACTAGTCGCGGCGCGATTAACACTCGAGCGGCGTGGTCGCGAAATTTCTTATCTCGAGCGTCGAACTCGGTGTTTCGTCGTATTTCGTATGCCACGTTAAATACGTCAGCGAGCAACAATTGCCATTTTACCGAGCCATTAACGGTCTAATTGCCCCAGCCTGTTCCGCGACCGCGAGGGAAAGCAATAAAGATAGGTGGCACGTCCGACGAACGGGGACGAATTAAAAAGATAAAGATAATAAAGAGTCGCGTGCTAATGATAAACGAAGCCGAGCCGATGATCGAAAGCAGATACGTCCGCGAGGACGAAATATATGGCTGGACGTAAAAATGAAATTCCGCCCGACGCGACGGACGGATATCGCTGGCAGTTTTCTCGTTATACGGCAACTCATTCTGACGGCGGCTGGCCCCGCTATCCAGCCTCTCATCTCGAACTTGCCGGCTGGCCAACGATCCGCCTACCGTGTACATAAAATTCCCGCCGAGCAGGATACGCGACATGCAATAGAGCAGGTCGACAGTAGTCGCTTCGTACCTTCCTCCGCCACCTGTCCGCTTTTTTATCGTCCTCCGCTTATCCGTCTTCGTCCTCTTCCTTTTTACGTGTCCCCTGTTAGACGCGTCCTCTTTTACCTTTACCTGTCGCCTGTCTATGTCTCGCGTACGCTCTCCTTTTACTCCCCCCCCCTCCCCCACCTCCTATTCGCCCACCCTCGCACGAGCTTTGTAATTTTTATTCTCGAGCTTCCGTTGCGTCAGCCACCCCCGGTCGATGTATGTTGATGAAATTATGAATACACCAGAGCTCCCTCGCTCGATCGACTTACCTTCCTCCTTCCAAACTTTGATATATCGCCCGGGATATTTGTATTCCTCCCTCCTCGGTTCCTCTTCACTCCCATCTCTCATCCTCTCTCTCTCTCTCTCTCTCTCTCCACCTCTGCTCGGCAACACTCCGGTTCGATGAATCAGTGATACGGGCCTCCCGAGACGCGGAGTGCATCGGTTTCCCCGGCGACTTTCCTCCCTCCTCGAGCTTTTATCGTCCCCCTTATCCGTCTCTGTCCGTTTTTGCCTATCGCCGCCCGTTTTTACCAGCTTTATCTAACCGATCTGAGCTCCATACCGCACCCCCGGCCTCCTAATTACCCGTAGGTGGGCCGATGCGCCCGGTAGATCTCCTTGCCATCGCCGCCGGTTCCACCGGGCCGGCGTCGTTCCCAAACGCCATTATCGCGGTCGCCCCGTTTCCCCGAGTTCCGGCAACTCGGTTCCCCGAATAGGCAATGTTCCCCGAAACACGGCTCGCCGGACGAGCGTTTCAACGATGCTCCATGCCGGCTTTGTCGCGTCCCACCTTTGTTTCCCTTTTAATCTTCGCGTCAAAAGGGTGCTGGCGGGTGGAGAAGGGCGGGTGGTCACGCGAGCCGAAACCGGGAACGCTGACAACCCTTCTGCCTTGTCACCTACAGCCATCCGGCCACCAACCTTCTCTCGCGGACCGTTTTAATCGCGCCGCCGAAAACTGCGTATTAGCCTGCGAGCTCCTCTTCTTCGGCCAAATAAATTCGAGGTTTACATTCTGTGCTTGACAGCGCGATGTTCCTCGATCTTCTCGCAACCGATCGATCGTCGGTTCTCCGTCTCTGGTTTATCGTACGTTTCCGGAGGAATCGTGGTATCCGATCAAAGATCGACGCCGAGTAATTTAGCACGATTCGAGATCGTGGTCGAATCGCGGAGGGACGTATCGATCGGCAGAGGTTCATCGAAGCCGGAGGAACCGGAGGGTTGCCGGGCGCTCGTTGGACAAATAGAAGAACTCGAGCTTGCCCCAACAAACTCTGCGAACCATTCCTTCTCTTTTTCTCGACTCTTTTGCTTTTTCTTCCCTGCTGGTCTCACGCTCCGTCTCTCTTCAAAGTCACCCGGAGCACGCGACGCGACGTTGTCCGGACCCGCTTCGGTTATCACGGCTGCCAACCCGTCCGGGTCCATTCCACCGCTATTTTCCCTTCGTTTGCCTCCCTGCAGCCAGGGTGATTAGGCGCGCGTCTACGCGGACGGGGCGGTTCGATTCTCTCAAGGGTGAGGACTCGGAGATCGCGTTACGCGACGGGGAACAGGGGTCACGGCATGGCAGAGAATAGCACGAAACTCGCGAGGCTCGATGGAATCGCGCGATGAAATATGTTCCCCGCCGATTTATCGCGTTTATTTATCGCGTCTGATTTAAAATGCTAGGCCCGCCGCTCGTGGATTATCGCCGAGTTGCCGGCAGTCGGATCGTATTTTCTCTTCGGTGGTGTAGGGGTGGAGAAAGAGAGAGAGCGAGATCGGGGAACGGGGACGGAGCTAGGTGGAGAGAAATTAGTAACGCTATTTAGGGAAACGGGTTGAAGACGAGGAGGGCGAAATGTACGAGGCGGTAATGCATAATAATGGATAATCATTTTTCGATTTCGTTTTTACACTCGACCGTGTTTTCTCCGCCGATCGTTTCTTGCGCGTTCGCATTTCACGCGGCCGCGTCGCGCCTCGTTCCTCTCCATTATTTCGCCCGGCGTTCTAAAGAGGCGCGTTCCTTTTGTTCGTCCTATGACGTTCAATCTATCATTCGCTTCATTTACATCGCACAGTCACTGCAACGTGCTCTCTAATTCGCTGGCCCGCGCGCGCTCCATTTCCCCATTCGCCGCGCTGCAATTGAAAAGAAACGGCTAACTAGATCGAACCACCCTCGCGCTGCCCGCTGCACGCTCGGGGCTGACTAAAATGTGGAACACGGACCATTTTCCCCGTTTCTCCCAATTTTCCCACCGACTTGCACGTCGTTAACGACAACCGGTCGCACGTGTCGCGGTTAAATACGTGGCTCGTTTTGAAATTCTTCCTCGACTTCGTACTTCAAACGATGAAAACCATCGCGATACGAGAGATCAAGATTCCGTCGTTTTTAAGTAGTCTCGAAGACTGCTTGGTTCCCGTGATCCACGCTGTAGGATGTACGGGAAAGAGAAAAAGGGGAAGAAATTAATTCTGTTGGTTTGAACTAAAAGAATATATATGTAGGATATTTCTAGAGTTTATTGGGATGCGATGGTCTAGAGGACCCGTTAGTATCTTGCTGCCAGATGGGCCGTAGGAGGTCGGGGTCAGACCATGCGAGGCTAACTCGGAGGGAGGAGTCTCCTCTACCCTCGATCTTGGCGTGGAGGGAGTTTCTCCTCCTTCGGGGAAGCGCTTGTCCTCTGGACGGGCTTTAAAAGGGCCCGTTGTGGAAGACAGCCGGCGAAAAGAAAATTCCTACGTATATTTGTAGGAAGTGTCGCGTTCCTAACGCCACTGAAACAGAGAAAAATTGAAACAAATGCCGGTGCAGATCCGATGTCGGCTCAGGCTATACACTCGTCGCCGTTGCACTTCGACACACGCTGACACCGCGATAACGCGGGATAGAGAGCTGCTCGAGGTATCGCGCAAAAGTCTCTGCCAGTTCCTGCGAGTTGCTCTTGTCCGACTCGTAAGAGCTACCGGAGTTCGGAGTATGCAATATCTCGCGGTTACCGGAAATTCCGTAGGAGACGGAGTTACGCGTATCATTGGCTGTGTTTGCAAAGATTGTCTCGTCGGAGATGAAACGTTACGAGACGCGTGTTATTGGTTTTCGCCCGGAATGCTGGAAGAGGACGAAGGTTCGGTCATTCGCGTTCACCGGCAGACGATTAGCGACAAAGTCTCTCGAAACCTGTGCGGACGTTTAAAGAAGCCGGGGAGAGGAAGACCGTTTGCTAATTAAAATTATTCCCTGTTTACATTTGTGCGCGGACAGAGCTCGTAATCGGATTAAATTCATCCTGAAACCACACGGCGAGGTAGTATTTAAAGTACTAATGAAAAACAATTTGCAGCGTTAAAGTACAAGGGGTTTTTAAATAATCGCAGAGGGACCTCTGTGGGCAGGGTCAGAGGCGGGCTCGCAGCGTTTTCTCAACTGCCGTGTAAAAATAAAATCTTATTTAAGGCGATGTCGCGTAATCTGCTTGTCTCGTTATTCGTAATCTCTATCTAGGCGAAAGTTCTCGTAGCCGAAAGCTCGGTTTACCTCCCTTTTCTATTAAAACTTGGACACCGCGGGGCCATCGACGAGAGCGGCGCGCAATGATTGGCCATAAAAATTTCAAAGTCCTCGAAAATTTCCAACTCGAGCCGAAAAGTCTAGGACTCGGGGCAAGTTCTTGGCGACTGTTGGCGAGGCAGCGAAGCACAGTGACGCGTGATTCCTCGTGCCGGAAGGAAACGCGAGCTACGCCGAGGAGCGGATCGGTCCGTGACGCGTTTGCAGGCCAATTTTACGAGCGCGGATTCATTTATTACTCTCCGCTCGAGTAGCCATCGGGCCGAATCGGCGACGGAGGGGCCTGGGAAATGTTTTATCGGCGATATTGTTGGCCGAGGATAAAAACCGGAAGCGAGCTCTCGCGATAGCTCGGTGCGCGCTCTGCCACGATATTCGCGCTATCCGGCCAACGCCGGCGAAGCGATCGCGTGTGCACGCGAGTTTATTGCTCGTAAATACCAAGAACCGAAAAAGAAATCGGCGAAAAAAAAGACGAGAGGAGCGGATGGGGAGGCAGAAGAGTCTCGAGCGTGCTCGCATCGCGTCTTATTGCTTCTCGAGAAGAAGTCGTGCGCTACGTTCGAAGATCTATCGGTAAGAGATATATCCTTCTCCCCGTGTGTACTCGTCTTGCACGATTGTGCTCCGCAAAGATAAATTCGGCATCTCGCGTGGAGAAATTTGGCGATAACATCGCGAGAAATAAACGACGTCTGTCCCTTTTCTCCGATCCCTCGGTTCACGCGTCCGATGCAACCGCTGTAGGTTTTTTTCGGTTCGACCACGCTTCGTAGTCCGCTTGTAACGACTGTTCCGTTGTGATTGTTGCAGCTTATGGTAATTTGGGCAGCGTGCTGAGCGCTCAGGGACGCGTCGCGGAGGCGGAGGAGGCGTTCGTCCAGGCGCTTCGCTATCGACCGAACATGGCGGACGTACACTACAATCTGTAAGTACAGCCACGTGCAGTCCCAATAATCCACTTTGCTGTTTGCCCCCTGTCTCTCTCTCTCTCTGTCTCTCTCTGTCTGTCTGTCTGTCTCTCTCTCTCTCTTTCTCTCTGTATCTCTCTTTTTCCGCCGCTAATGGGGTCTGGTGTAGGAAAGGCCAGCCTCGATCTCGTTTTAACACTGCACACGAGTGATCAGCTAGGGGGTCGAGTTTATCTAAAAATCCTTTCGTCGCTTCTTACCCGGAGCTTTCATCCTTTGTCCGGCCATCGCGTCGCGGTACTCGTTGCAACGCGGCCAGTCGTTTAACCGCAAAGGCACTCTCCCAAGTCGATTTCCTCGAAGACACCGCGTCTTCGAGATGGCGGACACCTTTGGCGGAGAGAAAGTTTCGTTGAAAGAAGACTCGCGGGGAATTCGAACTCCACCCACGCTTCGTATATTTCGTCATCCAAGATTTATGAGACGCCTCCGTACAATGGCCGGAACTTTCTCCTTGTCGCTCCGGTTGCTACGTGTCGCGAATCCCGGCCTCGACCGCTGAAAATCCTAACATTCGAAATTCTAAAATCCCGAGCGTACACCCGGCCACGGGGTTTCGAATTTCATCTTGTCTCCGACGGAACGTAACGCAATCGTCCCGGGGAACTTCCGTTTCCCTCCTTCGCCCCCTCTCATTCTCTCACTCTCTCTCTCTCTCTCTCGCTCTCCCGCAACGAGCACAGTGGACGCTGACCCCGAATCCAGGGACGGCTGTCGAATTTGCGTAATCCGCGAGCAAAGCGCTGCCGCTCCGCAAATCTCGCAAGCAATGAAGTCTCTCCTGACTTAAGCAGCCGGCGCGCGGCAGTGTCCGAAATCCCGAAAAGGCCAGCCGGGGGTGGCGAGGACGCGACGCTTGCGATTCGCCGGAAATAAAGGTCGAAGGAATCGCTGATCCGTGCTGGAAAATCGGTACACGTCGGGAAATTCCTGCGATTGTCCCAGATCCATCGGAAAACTAGCTGCCGTGCTTTGCGCCGGTTGCTATCGGAAAAGCTACACACAGGGCCGGCGAGTCGTACGGGGAATTTCGTGTACAACGCGAGAAAGCTATCGATCCCAGCGCGGTTGCGCTACGCGCGACGATCTAAAGATCGGACTGCAGAGTTCGTTGACTGCGAGACGCTTTCCTTTATCGCGACCAGGCTAGAAGACAAATTCTCGTGGGAAAGCATCCCCCCGAAAGTCTCGCGGCACTTTCCATCGACGCTCGTCATCTTCCGGCTATTCGGGGCCGCTTCGGAAAGGACGCGGAAGCTTGTCAAACCGGCGAGTCGATAAGCCGCCGCTGGGCATCCCTCTGCGAGCTTGCGATAAGCCGCTCTACGTACCGTACGTTCCCTGCAACGCGGTTATCCATTATCCGAGACCGTAAGAGTACATCCGTCGGGGGGTGCATCCTCGAGGGGGTAGAAGGTTGCTCGATACGGCGCTGCTTTCCGGCGAGAAGCACCTTCTTGCCGGGGAACGGCGAACGAAGGCAAACAACGAGCCCTATTTATTTTCGCGTTTCTACAGGGTGTTTGGCGCCGATACGTGGTTCGTACACGGGTTCTCCAGCTTTCGCCTCGCATGGGTGGCTGTGATTAATAAGGCGCACGCGAGATAGTCACGGAGGCAGTATTATAAAATTCCACGCGGCCAACTGCTCCAAGAAACGCGCCCTCGCGTTCTATTTTGCAACGGGAAACAGATTCGCTCGAATAGTTTCGACGTTCCGAATTCTTTCCTCGAATTACCGCGAAACCGCGCTACGTTTACGCGAATACGAAATATCTCGTCCGCCGGGGGTACGAGATACGCGGATAAATAGTTGTTCTCGTTTCAACCACGAGCGAACGATTCTCCGTACCGATGCATCGGCCTGCTCTCGAATCGCGTTACAACCCCTAACCGGAGGCAGAGGAACGGAGAAGCTCGCGAGTATCGAAGCGTGCCGGCGAGTGTCGTGACTCGGTCCGGGAACGGGCTGATTGCAGGGGGCAACGAATGCAGAGTTTCGAAGCGCGTTGCCTCGGTCGTAACGTGTCGGGCACTATTCCGCTTTCCGTTGTCGCGAGATCTCTGGCCGCGGGTACACGCAAAAGAAACGGCCTGGTCGGCTCGATAAGCCGGCCAGGTACGTTGTCCCTTCGACGGATCGATCGGTCGGACACGAACGAACGAACGAACGAACGAACGAACGAACGAACGAACGACATCGAGCCCCGGTGTTCGCGGTGGCAGGACAACGGAATTTTACGCCTACCGATGTCTTCCGTGTCCCCTTCGCAACCCCTTGGCACGGAAGACTGATGACCGATTTCGAGAGGAGCGATGGATGTTGATTTATTAAAACCCCCCCGGCGGCCGTGGCACCTTGGCCCGATCGCGAGTCATCCATCAGCTGGGGCAGACGATGAATGGGAAATTGATTAGTCGCCGGGAGTTCTTTGCCTGGAGAAAAGAAAGATGTCCACCCGATTGTCCCGCGCTGTGGAGTAGCTTGCTGATTATGTGGCGCCCGGATAATAATGTCACGGGATCCACGGGGTAATTAACGGACGCCTGTTCCGCGTCGGGGATGACGCCTGTCGTTGGAGGAGAGATTAAAAAATAATTGGCTGCGCGAGCTTAGAAAGGTGGTAGGTAAATCAAGGTTTCGAGCATCGACGGCTGGCTTTATTCGTGAAACCGGGGGACGGGAGCTGATAAAAAGGGAGGAAAAAAGAAGCAGGGCACGGGGGGAAAAGGGAGGAGGGGAGAAGGGAGGAAGAGGAGTCGGGGAGGAAAAAATAGAGAAGGCAAAGAGTATCCGTGACACGTTAATTAAGCGTCGAACGGGAATTATTGGCCGTTTCACAGGCGGCTCGGCACGCCGGATACGCCAATGGCGGTAATTACTCGACGGTAAATAGAATCAGTTGATTCGGCGACGAAATTGACACCGAGTTCAAAGGAGGGTCGTGCGTCGCTTAATTGTCGTCGCGACGCCGGAGGTGCGACGCCGTGGTTACATGGCCGACGTTAAAGCAAGCATCTGTGCCGTTGCGGCGCATCGACGCGCGAAACTCCCTCGACGCGCTACATCAGAGAGAGCGTGAGAGGACGAGAGGGGTCGAGAGAGAGGGGGGGAGAGAGCGGTGTGCATCGCATTGCACACGTACACAGGGTGACACCGAACGCGCGCGTGAACCCACACAGGATCCGACTAGAGGGCCAGGAGAGGGGTAGTAACGGGCGGTGGTGAAGTGCGACTCCGAGTGCAATTGAGGGTTTTCATAACGACGCCGCTGACGCGAAATTACGCGGCCAAGCATCGCGAGCTGTCGCTCCGGTGAAAACGCTAACGAAATCAAAGTGCGATCCAAGAGAATTAATTTGCTTATTGTCTCGATGAAATTGACGCGAAACGAGACCCGCGAGCCGGAGCAAGAGCCGCGCTAATTGGCCCTGTGACAAACGCGCCGCCGATTCTCTCCCCGGCTCTTTCGAGGTTCGCCATCAACGCGAACTTCGTTAGATTCCTGTAAATATTTACATCCTGCCTTTCCTCCGCGACGACGTCTTTGAGCGACGACGCGAGACGAGCACCGTTTGTTTCGCGCGAGCTCGTTATTCGCCGAGTTGGTCCGTCGCACGATTCCCCTCCAACGAGTCACGATCCGCGGAATCTATCTTCCTCGGCCGATAAACGTTTCATCGCGGGTACTTCTCGAGCGTTCGCGAGACGAAATAAACGCGGTCGATGCGACCGCGATCGTAAAACGCGTCTGACTCTGGCAGGGCTATTCGGAGCCAAAACGCGTCGGAGCAGATGTCGGCGAATATCCAGGGGAGTTTTCTTCTCTCGCGAACGGGGGTGGGAAGACAGAGGAATCAATGGCGGTTCCGGGGGAAGGTCAATATCGAGCACGTCATTTATTGGCCGGAGGAGAATCCTCGATGGGAATAGGAACTGCGAGCGTTTAAGATACGACGTCGGTGGCTAACGAACGGCCAGCGGACGTAACGAAGATAACGATGACAATTACGAGCACGAAGGAAGCTCGTAAACCGAATGAAACAGCTGCGTCGGTTCGCGAAGATGAAATAACGAGTGACGGAAAGATCGTTACGATCGGTCAGCGATAACCAACGATTATCGCGATCCTACGTGACGATGCATATGTTCATTCCCTACGCTCGTTTCCAATCTCGCGGGCCCTATTCGCCACCCCAACCATCGCCCGATCTAATCCTCGATAAAGACTTGCAAATCTTTCATAGACAGACAGACATTTAACTCCCACCCTTCCGAATTTTTATCTCCATCCAAAGACCCGAACCTCGTATTCCTATTTTCCACGTTCACCCTTAAGGGACAACGGTTTATTCCTTTACGACCAGCGTCCCACGACTCGCGGACACCTGGACCTCCTAAAATACCATCCGAACTAACCCCCTATGAAAAGATTAAAATTTCCCAAGATCTCGAAATAAACTTTCGTGAAAATCTCGATTAACTAGTTTACGTTTGTAAGAGAACGTCAGCCTCGTCTGATCTCTTCTCATTTAACCCTTAGCGCTCGACGATTTTTCGGCTAAAGAAGGGTACGAGATGAAAAATTTTCTGCTACAAAGCTGACGATATTTTTGGAGCAGTAAATAAGAAATCGTATAATAATTGACACGTGGGATTATTTAATTCCGATATCTCGCATTCCATATCTGTTACGTTATTTTAAATTTGATATATTAATTAATATCGAGCTTCGAAATTTTATCGAATGGCGACTGAAGGGCGCCTCCCGAGTACAAAGGGTTAATAAGGGTTCGAACGAAACAGCATAATCGGGGTGTAGCAACGAGAATGAAATAATTACGAATTATCTAAATCTAGTTGCTAATCTATTGCTCGTCTAGTTGCTTATCTAGTTGCTGAAACGGTAGATCGCGACGCGTCTTTCATCGATATGACAGGGATAGTCCTCGAATT